CTCGAAAACTATGACCTGTGAATACGAAATTTAGCATGGAGGTAATTTACGGACAGGAAATGTCAGCTCAGAACGGATTTCGCGAAAGGGCTGGATTAAGTGCTAAGGGCTGATACATACAGAAGTGTAAATCACGAAATCTCTAAAACTATTTTGCCTTCGAATATAAAATTTGTAGGTAGCTTATGAGAGGACACCTTATCTAAGAATGGATTTTACGACAGGGCCTGGATAAGTGGAGGCTACAAGGCTAGGTACTCCTATTACAGGGTGACTTTGAAGTTGAGTCATTAATTTTCAGATAATGATTGTAGAAGGAAGATAACCAGAATATGTGTGTAAAAATAAAAAAAAATTAAAAAAAAAATTTACCTTGTTTTATAAAGTATCCTCCCGACAAGTATTTCAGTGCGGACCTGTATTTGATCGTGAGGTCCCCTGTGAGGTCTTAAGTCACCTGATTCACGAGCCCGTTGTACTACATTAACAAAGGCACGAGGGGTTGGTTGCACTCGATTGGGAAACCGATCCGCATAAACATGTGCCATTTTTTATTTCGTTTGAGCCACGCAACAGAAACTATTCACACGCTAACCGACAGATACTGACTGTATGTATAACTGAACTGAATAAAACACTTAATTGCAAAAACGTCGTTCCAAATTCTTTCGCTTTTTTGTTTCCGATGCGATGAACCAGTAAGGCGGATTATATCCGTTGTTGCCAACACGAGTACATGATATTATTATTGAGACAGGGCGGTACTCAAACTTCCAAAGGGCTATAACTTTGTTACTTTAATTTTACCAGAAAAATGGTAAAGGAAAAAAACATTTCTTTTGATCAGATCTACTCACTGTTAAAATAAATGACTCAACTTCGAAGTCACCCTGTATATAAAAGCAAAAATAACCACATCTGTTAATCAAGAAATCTCGAAAACTATTTGACCCATGACTAGAAATTTATTAGAAAGATAGCTTATGGCCAGGACATGTTTTGCGACAGAGTCAGATTGAGGGGGATAAAGGGATTTACAAGTTTGCACAAAGTCCTATTTTATTATGTCAGTTAATATTGGATATTGCGATATATATTCTGGGGACTAAAGGGTATTGTTTGTTTTAAAATTCTGCTAGTTATCTAAAATTGACAATACTCTAAAGGTAGAGTAGATTCATATTGAGAGTAGATTTTGTAACATGGGCGAAAAGGGGCTTATGGTTTAATCTAATGTCTTGATTTCAACATTTTAGTTGTTTTAACAATTATAAGTGCACAAAGATTGTAAATGTATATTACATGCGAAATAAGAAACAAATAACTTCCTAGACAATGTTTTGTAAGCATTTTTTGGTGATGTCAAAGTATTATAGCATTTTGTAGGTCAAAATTTTCATTCTTGCTTCCCCGATTTTACAAGTGGATGAAACATTGTTTATATGTGTAATTTAAAATCAACTCCTTGGATAAATCGGGCGTGGAGATCACAAAAGTCCCATTTTCCTACTTCGACACTTCAGCATTTTTTGATAGGTATACTCAAAATCAGTTTCACTTATTACGATACTGTGCCAAGTCTTCAGTTGAAAACAAGAACAGCATTTTCAATTTGGGACACTGAGTTCGAATAAATGATCATAAAAAATTATAAAGAAAACGTTGCCGTCTAATTTGAGGTAAAAAAGGGGCCCCTGGCGTCAAATTGACGACCTATTTGGAATCTATGCACCAAATTTACCCAGTCCAGTCTAGATCACATATATATAGAAGATTTTGAAAAAGTCGTGGACAGGAAACGGATTGCTTGAGACAATTGATTTATAACTATTCTGCTCAAAGAGGCCTAACCATATACTGTAAGCCGGCGCCCAAAAATGCCGACGAATATCTCATAGATAGAGCTAGGATTTTCGAATGCCTACTTATTTAGGTATCTCCAGGCATTGATTAACGTGTATTCCATCTAATTATCGTAGGTGGTAGACGGTTTCGACTGTCGTGGAGGTACCACCCGGCGGATCTCTAAGGCGGAGCCAGAATGTGTGCATGATACATGCACACGTGTTCCCTCGCTAGAGTCCGTGTGGCGTCCCCCCTTTCCTCTGTATCCTCCTATAGCCCCACGGTACTCATGATTGCGGTTAGGTCTTAGGCCTTCGTGATGGCTCAAGTATATAAAAAAAACTAAAGATACCCAATTAAAATAGGCATTTAGAGAGTCCACTCTAACTCTTTTAAAGTAGGTTCCTAGTCATTTTTATGTTCTGTTACTGACTCGTAGATGCCGCTAGTATCTTTCAGAACCCGTTTATATGGTTGATTAACTTCAGGTAGATTATGTTAATCAATGTTGAAATGTCGGTTCTAGCTCGAATCACCATATACATACCTGTATGCGATTTATACAGGGAATGAATTATTGTCCAAATCAAATATATGCAGGGGGTTTTAAAAATTCCCTCATAAGTAGTCTCAAAACAAGAATGCGTAGGCCAAACTCCATTTTCGTCTGGGGTTGTCACAAGCTAATGAATCTTAATAAACCTTTAGGTAATTTGGTGCGCTGAATTTGAATATGACCTCCAAAAATCGTAAAGTTTACCTGCAAGGTGTTGAGCAGCTTTCCTTTTTTATCCAGGTATCCAGCAGCTTTTTGCTCCTCATTATAATCCGGATAATAAGCCGTGAGTGTAACATTTTCGAACCTTTTTCCATTACATTTTAAAGATATCTCTGCAACATAAATGATTTTTTTGTTAATTATATCGGAATAACTATAATGCACATTTATTTGCGGCCTGGCCAAACGGAATTCATTTCTCATGATGGGCGAAGTATGATCAGCGAGGACGCACAGTGACGGATTTAGGATTCGAGTGATTTCTGTCTCGTAGTACCGCTCGGGTTTTGATGAAATTTTCAAACAAGGTAGTTAAGAATCGTTCTCAGTAAATTTATATGCTCCGCACCCCGGTAGTTCTATGCACCTAATTGCCATATTTCACACATCATAATTTCCTCGTAAACTTGCATTTGAACCTTAGCATGATAGAAACATGCTTTCGATACGAGTACTCCTGCTGTCTGAGCTCATGCTCGGCGAACCAGTCCGACCGATCAATCTGTCCACACTGCAGCGAAAAAGACGTATACTCGTACACGGACCATGCACGAAATGAACGATAACTCTGTGAAGCGATGCCGCGCTGAGCGCTACCGCGCAGATATGGGAAGGGACAACCTTGCCAGATGGACAATAACTATCGGTAGAACAGGAAAAGAATGTCTAATTCTAATTGTAAGGACTGATTTAATCCGTTTATTTTTTCTGTTGTACAAGTTCGTAACTGATTTTTTTCTCAGAGGATTTAAATTGCGCTGAACTCAATCCTCTATGAACTGATGACGGCGTTGCGTAGGAAAAATACAGAGTCAATCTACTTGACGCCATTTTCTTAAGTGCCTGTTCCCAAAATCTACAAAAGAGCTCTACCCTACCAAGTTTTGCGAGACTACTTTTAGTGTGAGGTTGCGGACAAGGGTCCGCCAGTAGATTATTTTTTCCGTTTATCCTGACTGCAATTTGCACCATTTTCAAATTATCCGCGTTTTATACTAACGAGAGTGCTGATGAAGGAACAACATCTCCCATGAAGTTCTTGTAGGTACATCAAATAAAGCCCCTTTTTCATTAGACATAAATTAGCAATCTTCTGTATCTGTTAAAGAATTAAAAAAGTAGTTTTACTTACCATTTTGGTATAACGTGTAAGCATTCGCAAACAGACAATAAAAAATCGTTGCGATAATAAGATACTTCATTTTAAAATGCAGACTGCATGTGGTGAATTTTTCCAACAACAGGCTGCTAAAAAGTGCGGTGTCGTCATTTTTCAACTTCAACACAGCAGGTATAAAATTACAGGTTCATTGTACATAAACAATCCGTCTTTTCTCTAAATATACAGGGTGTTTCAAAAAGACGTGCCAATAATTCTAGGGTAGAAATTACATCCAAAACTAACAAACTCACTGACTTTGTCGGAGAAAAAAGTACATTTTATGAAATACCATTCAATTTTCGCACGTGTAGATATTTAGGTTTGAATATTGGAGGTAAAATCCTAAAATACTCTTATGAAAAGCTTTAGGCTTCTGAAAACACCGTGAAACCTGTTATTCGAAACACTATATGGCATGTGATGAAAGCTATGGCACCTAATTAAAACATTAATTGAATAATATTCGTGTGTTCAATCGGTAGCGTAGAAGCATTTACCGTTCATTAAACCACTAGTTTTCATGGTATACTTTTCCTGATAGCAGTACCCATGTTAGATTCTTCGGTTTATCGAAAATCACAACTAGTAATTGTGGAACCAATCACTTTGAGTAAAATTCTTATGATTTTACTTTAAAAATTCGGCCTTTTTTCTCAGAGTTCTCACAAATCGTTAGCAACCTCGAACAGTAAGTATACAGACGGTTTCCAACACTGATCATACTACGCCAGGTATTTTCCAAAGAGTCAAAGTGCCTTTGTAGCGTAGAGCCCGGGCTTGAGTTGGATCCAGAAGTGGTCACTTCCAAGGTTGCATGTTATAACATTTATTCAGCATTATTTTGTATTTATTATAATTTACAAATATCCACGAAAGTTGTATCAAATGCGTGTTTATTATTGTGGTTTTAAATAATTATAAGCTTTATTTAACTACTTTTGAAATGAGGGTTTTCTTTGATTTGAAGTTTCTTTATCTATAAACAAAAACGTATATGCCGGCAAAACCAGTGGCGTGCACAGGAAATGTGTAATGAATGAATTTCGTAAAAAAAATTCATCATCCCATATCTCGGTGTGGGAGCATCTTTGGACCCACGTTTTCGGACTTTTTTTTGTTATTTTTTATGTACTTTCTACAATACAAATATTGGCACCCTGGATACGATGTCCAAAGGCAAACTATCTAAATAAAAAATATATCAACTAGACTAGCTTAATAACATAGTAAATGATATTCGAAATAAATTACTCTGTCAATGTTTCTTCTGAGTCCTTTGATACACTGGATCAGATGGAACTCATTTCTTGGTCCCAATGAGAAGTGTATTTTACAGTGGCGGATCCAGGGTGGTGTCTTGGGGGTTTGCCCCCTAAAAATATATGACTAGAAAAATTCAAACTTGTTTATCAATTTACAGATGACCTTCCCCCCATCTTTCTCAACATGAATTCTGAGACACCCGAATTTTTTTTTTTGAGCGGGTAAGTTTAAATTCATCATACCGACCCCCTCCATCAAAAAACTAGTTTATATATCCGTCTCCGGTATTTCACAATGTCGATCAAGATGTGTGTGCTTCTTCCCGATTTAATACATGTCTGACGATTTTCGAGATATCGGTATATTAACATATCTGTATTAAGATAAACTTAACGGTAGAATAAGATCCTCAAATCTTGTGAATTGATAAGATTAATAAATGTGAGTCAGGAAAAATTGTATGTGAATACTTTTTACACTATAAACATCTTAAATTGTGAATCTTACTGTAGGATTACGCATTAAGGAAAGGTAAGGGTAATATCATTTTGGTTTCGTGAGGGAGTTCTTTCGCTACTGAAAATATTGTTTTTCAATTATCTCCTAATTATCTAATGAGTGTATAATTAGTTAAAATCAACAATATGACTCTTATCAGTCCATATATATAGTCGTATACAGATATACAATCAAATTCTAAACTTCCTCGAAGAAAATTATATAATAGATACCTATTGGATAGAGCTTCTCAAAATGTTTACGATTTCCGCCAATTTTTTAAAATTGGAGATCTCAACGCGAAAAGCAAACATGTCCATAGCATCTACAGTTCTTACACGAGTAGTTGATGAGATATAAGAAATAAAAGGCAATATTTGTAGTGCTGGATATTGAATGAATCTTAAAATTTGAGGCATCCCGGCCACCATAAGGAGCCAGTGCATAGCCAACTTAAGCGGGCCCTTATGCACCTCTACAATCCTTAAATCACAAGCCTCGCCCTTTTAGCGAAGTTGAGAATCGCCTTGAGTCCAAGCTCCTTGACGTCCTGAGGGTCCAAAGTAATGGACCCCAGTATAGTCTGCTTATAGTAGCTCAGAGCTTCACAGCGACACAAAACGTGCGCCGAGGTCTCTTCCTCTACTCCGCAGCGTTCGCACAAGGGATCCTCAGCCACCCCCATCACGTGCAGGTGACGCCTTAACTTGTTATGGCCAGACAACAGTCCCACCAGCAACCTTAGGTTGGCTCTATCCAGAGATAGGCAGAAGCGTCCATCCTTAGCACTGAGCTCTCGTGCCTGGCGGAGATGTCTAGAGATACTTCTACCCACGTCTCCATTTTCCTCCTAGCTTTATGCGCGGTCACTCCTAGAGCTGGCTCAGGACCAACGAGCTTGCTGGCTGATCCTGTTTTCTCCAGAGTGTCCGCCGTCTCATTGCCCCTTATCCCAGCGTGCCCCGGTACCCATATTAACGATACCGGATGCCTCGCTGCGAGGCAATCCAGAGCCTCCCTGCATTGCAATACAAGACTCGAAGTAATCTTACAGGCACTTAGTGCTTTCATTGCAGCCTGGCTGTCGGATAAGATTGATATTCTTCTCCTAGGCCCACCCTCCTCCAGAATGTGAGATACACAAGCCAGAATCGCAAAGATTTCCGCCTGGAAAATGGTGGTGTATCCACCGAGAGGCAGATATAGCCTAGTTCTAGGCCCAGAGACCCCAGCACCTGAGCCCTCTTCGGTGACCGAGCCGTCCGTGTACCAGACCTGCCCGCTCACTTCGGACAGTCCCCGGCTACCGGCGTCCCACTCCTCCCTCGTTGGATACTCCACAATAAACTTGCGGGGTAATACGATCACCCTAGCTTAGAAGGACGGGGTCCTCCCTTTCTAATTCGACTAAGATGGCAGTATGCCCCTTGACAGGATTCAAGAAAGCCCAGCTGCCCTGACTCCACAGTCGATGAGCGACTACTCTCGCTTCACAGCGGATCACCAGATCCAACGGTGGGAGATCCAACAGAGCTTCCATTGCACTCAATGGCGTTGGTCGCACTGCGCTTGTAATGCTAATACAGGCCAAACGCTGAATTTTATTGAGTTTGGCCTTAGTTGTCTCAGTTCTAATGCAAGGCCACCAGACCAGGGAGCCGTACAAGAGAGATGGACGTACTATCGTCATGTAGAGCCAGTATACCACTTTGGGTTTAAGTCCCCACCTTACCCCGACAACACGTCTACAAGCCCACATCGAATTGCGAGCCTTGCTAACCTTGTATTCCACATGCTCTCTCCAGTTCAGTTTGCAATCCAGGATAATTTCCAGATATTTCACTGACTGGGACAAAACTAATCTAGTCCCAAAGAAGGTCGGCATGACCAGCCCGTCAAGCCTTCTTCTCCTAGTGAATAGGATCAGCTCGGTTTTTTCAGCATTAACAGAAAGATCGACTTCCCTACACCACGATTCCACGGAGCGCAGAACGCCCTGCATAATTTCCGAGACTGTTCTACAGAAACGCCCCCTAACTACTATGCTTACGTCATCAGCATAGGCTTGCGCGTAGACACCCATACTGCTGAGCCTAACGAGGAGTTCGTTCACCACGATACACCACAGTAGGGGTGACAGAACTCCGCCCTGAGGGCAGCCTCTAGCTACATTCACGCTGCAGCTTACGTTATTCAGCATAGCTGTTGTTACCCGACCCTCCAGAGTAGAGAGGACCCAATCTATTAGGATTGATCCAACCCCGTGTCTAACCAAGGCCTGTCTGATAGAGTCGGTTGTGGTGCAATTAAATGCACCTTCAATGTCCAAGAAGGCCACGAGTACCACTTCTCGCTGATCTAGAGTCTTCTCAAGCCTACCGACCAGATTGTGTAAGGCCAGATCAGTCGATTTTCCAGCTTGGTATGCAAACTGATTTGCATGAATGACACACCTTTCCAGCAGGCCATCCCTTAAGTATCTATCAACTATCCTTTCCAGTGTCTTAAGCACAAAAGATGAAAGAGTAATCGGTCGAAAATCCTTCGGGCCAGTATATCTATTTCTGCCCGGTTTAGGAATGAATACTACTTTAGCCTGCCGCCAGCTTCTAGGTGTGAAGCCCGTGGCCACACATGCTCGAAACACATTCAACAGGTAAGGAACAACCAAAATCCGTCCGTGCTGTAACATGGCCGGAAATACGCCGTCCAGACCTGGATTTTTGTATGGAGCAAACAAACGAATCTACTGCCCATACTGTCCTTTCGAAGGTGACAATCTTCCTAGCCGTGCGCCAGTCCTCCCTTGAGGGCCTGCGCAACTGCATGCACTCTGTGATTGATCGCGCTACTGTGGAATCGGGAAAGTGCGTATCCATCAGAAGCCTCAGATTACCTTCCTCAGAAGTAGTATTGCCCCCCCGAGGGATCATGCAGAGATCCCAATCTTGCTTTAATGTCTTTGCATAGGACCCTGTGTATTCTTGCAGTAGCAGGAATGTCATTTATGGACTGACAGAAGTGCCTCCAGGATTCTCTGGAGGCCTTTCTAATCTCCTTTTTGTACTCCTGCAATGCTTTTTTGTAGTCTTCCCATAGAGGAGAACTTCTCCTGTGCTTAACTCTGCTAAGAAGTTTGTGCACCGCTAGTTTTCTATCCTCTAATTCTTTAGTCCAGAAGGTTGCCTTGCCCAATCAGAGATAAACCCTTCTAGAGATGGGAAACTCCAATACTAAAATAAGTTACCGTATTTCTGCGATCTCTGGTGGATTGGTCTCACACCAGTGCTGAATAATGGGCCTTTCCATCTTAACAGGACAACCTAATGGAGCTTTTTACATTCCGTTAATAATAAATCGTCTTACGTAACAAAAACACTCCAAATGGGTTAATTTCCACTTTCTTAGTCATTAATACATGACGCACAATTCGACACAGTGTCTTTCTCCAATGCTGGGATGAGTCGCGCGTCACGTATTAATGACTAATATAGCAGAAATTAAACCATTCGGAGTGTTTTTATTACGTAAAATGGCTTGTGGAAAATCTTTCCTGGGGATGCGAAGGGAGGAATTAAAATTAAAGAAATAATTATAGTCATTTTATGGTCAATCATTCATATACAAATTATATCACCTTTTCTCAGAAAGCTAAATATAATAATAATAATGTCTTTAGAAATCCATCCACACTGCGAGGCGAAGTTTAACCAGCTGGCTACTCTACCACTTAACCTCACAGCGCAGAAACACATACAAAAAAAAGATATAACAATGAATAGCAATCGACTAATATATACAATAATTAAGGCTTAAATAGAGTAATCTTAAGATGTTATACATCTATACTACATGGTCCACTCTAACAAAAAAAAAAAGAAATATATCAGCTAGCTTGGCTAGCAGACCCCAGAAGATGGTTCTTATGGCTCTCTTGAATGCAAGAATTCCCTTTTTTAAAAATCACACCATTTACACCTGGATTGAATGAATGAATGAATGAATCTTGAATTTTAGAGGCATCCCGGCCACCATAAGGAGCCAGTGCATAGGCCGCTTAAGCGGGCCCTTATGCACCTCTACAATACTTAAATCACAAGCCTCGCCCTTTTAGCGAAGTTGAGAATCGCCTTGAGTCCAAGCTCCTTTACGTCCTGAGGGTCCAAAGTAATGGACCCCAGTATAGTCTGCCTATAGTAGCTAAGAGCTTCACAGCGACACAAAACGTGCGCCGAGGTCTCTTCCTCTACTCCGCAGCGTTCGCATAAGGGATCCTCAGCCACCCCCATCACGTGCAGGTGCCGCCTTAACGTGTTATGGCCAGACAACAGTCCCACCAGCAACCTTAGGTTGGCTCTACCCAGAGATAGGCAGAAGCGTCCATCCTTAGCACTGGGCCCTTCAATGAGCTCTCGTGCCTGGCGGAGATGTCTAGAGATACTTCTCCATTTCTGAGAGTGTTGTCTTGCAACCCACGTCTCCATTTTCCTCCTAGCTTTATGCGCGGTTACTCCTAGAGCTGGCTCAGGACCAACGAGCTTGCTGGCTGATCCTGTTTTCGCCAGAGTGTCCGCCGTCTCATTGCCCCTTATCCCAGCGTGCCCCGGTACCCATATTAACGATACCGGATGCCTCGCTGCGAGGCAATCCAGAGCCTCCCTGCATTGCAATACAAGACTCGAAGTAATCTTACATGCACTTAGTGCTTTCATTGCAGCCTGGCTGTCGGATAAGATTGTTATTCTTCTCCTAGGCCCACCCTCCTCCAGAATGTGAGATACACAAGCCAGAATCGCAAAGATTTCCGCCTGGAAAATGGTGGTGTACTCACCGAGAGGCAGAGATAGCCTAGTTCTAGGTCCAGAGACCCCAGCACCTGAGCCCTCTTCGGTGACCGAGCCGTCCGTGTACCAGACCTGCCCGCTCACTTCGGAGAGTCCTCGGCTACCGGCGTCCCACTCCTCCCTCGTTGGGTACTCCACAATGAACTTGCGGTTGAAGCGATATTTAGGGGTAATACGATCACCCCTGCTTAGAAGGACGGGGTCCTCCCTATCTAATTCGACTAATATGGCAGTATGCCCCTTGACCGGATTCAAGAAAGCCCAGCTGCCCTGACTCCACAGTCGATGAGCGACTACTCTCGCTTCACCGCGGATCACCAGATCCAACGGTGGGAGATCCAACAGAGCTTCCATTGCACTCAATGGCGTTGTTCGCACTGCGCTTGTAATGCTAATACAGGCCAAACGCTGAATTTTATTGAGTTTGGCCTTAGTTGACTCAGTTCTAATGCAAGGCCACCAGACCAGGGAGCCGTACAAGAGAGATGGACGTACTATCGTCGTGTAGAGCAGTAGATGTCTTATGGGGATTCGGTCTCAAAACTTCCAAAATCCGCCACCAGAGGCGCTGGCGTCGCGCGCCATTGACAGGTTGTTGGACGGAATCTGTATTCATGAGTTGGGGATTCCGCCGCTAGATGGCGCTGTCAAACCAAACGGAATCTGTGTGTCATTGGACACCTGTCATGCGTCATTGGGCATCTCACGCATAGATGGCGTTACACGTCATCTGTCATACGTCATTGGACACCTGTCATTGATGGGTTGAGCATCTCGCGCATAAATGGCGTAGATTTGTTTGGCGGTGTACAAACCTAACGGAATCTATGCGTCATTGGACAGCTGCCATTGATGGGTTGGGCATCTCGCGCATAGATGGCGCCGATGTCGCACCTGTCTGGTGTTGGCGTGGATTACGGGGGGCAACGTGTATACAGGGGTGCATCGAAAAATAGCGGATCGATGGACCGACGGTATATCGTTAAATCGTATATAGCAAGGCGTGACCTAAATAGCGTGGTGGGCTCCTCTGGTCGGTCGGTCGGTCGGTCAGAATGTCTCATAACCTGTATACGATGTACTGTTATTATTATACAGGATGATACCGTTCAAAATGAAAATAGTATAATGGATATTTTATTGAAACATATAGTATATATAACAATAAGGTTGATTGGTGTGTGTGTGTGTGCCATGTTTTGAATACCCGCGCTTGAACAACTTGCAACAAGAAATTCCGACAATATTATTTCGCAAACCAGAGGTATTTTCAATAAAACTACATATCAGGGAGTACTTTAGATGTTGATACTAATCGACTCAAATCATTGTTCGACAACTGATTTGGTTCATGACAGACAAGAATCAAATTATGTATTTCACGGTTCAGTTCTGGTTGTTTTTTAATTTTTTCCCTAAACTTCAGGTAACCCAGGAAATATGTCTCTTATCCGTCCTCTGTTCAACACATCAGTAAAATCGTTAGAAAATTCTATATATGACATATTATTATAAAAGGTATAGGACCGTCCTGCGTTTGATTGAAAAATAGCATTGATTCGAGCCCTATCGGGTATATCAATTGAAAAATTATCAAGAAATTTAATGGTAGGGAATGATGCTGAGAAATAGTTGTTTGGAGACACAATGGTAATCAAGTCACCGTTTGTTGATTGGAAAATATGTTGTAAAGTGTATTGACGTAATTCTGTAGGAACATAATCGACAAGAAGTTCAGGCTGAGATGGGATAATCATTTCGTTTAAGTCTAGTTTCCATATAAACATATCATGTGCAATATATAATCGGTAATTTGAAAACTCTGGAGCAATAGCTAAAAACATAAAATCTGGAATAATATCACACAAATTTTTGAGGATCGGCTGCTTACGAGTTGTAGATCTTATAGTTGTTGTTGTTTTTGGTATTGCTGATGCGGTGGTAGACGTTGGGATTGAATCATATTTGTTTTTTCTTCCATATAGATATTGTACTGCATTTATATCATCAACATCTAGACCACGAATCTCATGCTGATAGAAGGCAAACATAATAGCATTCGGAGAAGCACTATGTGCTATGCCGAGAGCATGTCCAATTTCATGAACCAACACCTGATAGAGAATGATGTCAAAAATCTCAGATAGCAAATATAAATTCGTTTACCCCCCAATCAAAATCTTGACTGAAAAAAAATTAGGCAGCAAATATACAATAATCATACACGAATTTACTATATTTCTAAATTTCTACTCTCATGTGCAACTTGTAATTGGAATTTCCGCCGGACAAACGATACATTCATGTATTACTAAGAAATTATATAAAAAATACTGCAACCGCAATGAATGTTGTTTTCTCGATAAAAATGGTACTGAGAATATGATGCATATAATATGCATATTTACGATACAATTATCTCATGCACGCGTGTGTTATCTCAACCACGTATTTATATTTAGCGAGCGCATGCAATAGTCATCATTGTTTCACACTTAACGCACAACGCTGCAAGCTGGAACAACGGCCGCAGTACAATAGTGCTTCGAGAGAGACGAGATAGCGAAAATTTTAAAAAAAGTAAGTGCTATTTTATTTAATATTTTTCTTTTTTATGTCTCTAAGTGCAACTGTTTTTTCGTGTTATGCTTCAAAATAGTTAGACGACTCAATTTTTTTTATAGATGGATTTATCAAAAATTAATGCTGCGTCTTCGATTGTAGACCGCAAACCTATCAGAAAATTAAAGGACCTACCAGTCGGGACACCATTTGCAATCCAAGCAGCTAAAGTGGTCAAGTCGAAATTTGGGGAAGCCGTGCTACTAGATTTAGGACCGGAAGTGCTATTTCTACCACAGCGGGTGACGGAAACGTACCAGCCGGTCATCGACGAACTTTTTCACGGAAAATACTCGATCATCTTCCAAGGGGAAGTGGACGTAGGGAAAAGCCGACCGCTAGCATCATTCAAAATAGTGGAAAGTTAACAAAGCAGAGAACAGGAGGAGGAGGACAGGGTGAGCATTTTTATATATTTTTGAGTAATGTGTTTGCTTGAAAAAAAAAATGTCGTCTTTTCAAATGTCTTCAAATAAGGTTAAAAAGATCATCAAACAAACAGACGGTGTTCTACTATCAATTGTTAGTCTACGGAAAATTTTATTTGATAATTTTACAATCAGAGACGCGGAAGTGTGGCTGAAACGAATAGAAAAACAAATTAGATTATGTAAACGGGTAATTCGTAGTAGAAGGCAAAATAAATTATCTGTAGGGACCTGTAGAAAAGTAGAAACAAATTTGGGGCATTTTAAACATTTTAGAAAGTTGATTTTAACTAGACATATTGGGGCAGGACTTCACTTAACATTGGGTCAGAGGGTTAGATGGGAAAATGTAGAATCGAGCTTTCAAAGTAGAATAAAAACCGGTTCCATAGCTAATTTGCGTCATAAGGACTTG